AAGTTGAAAGATTCTCTTCGAGAATACCGCCCTTTCTTTCTTAGGAACTTCACTTTATCTTCCAGACCACGCCAAGCAATTGCTCCTTGAAGATCAATATCCTTGCTTTCGTAGTCAAAGATAATTGCCTTGATATTTTTGTCTTGTGTTCGTTCTATCATCGAAGCTATGTTGTCGAGAAAAACGTGGATCCATTTGCCTTGGTTTTTAGCTGTTATAACAAACGTAACCGTAACATGTCGTTTCCATGGAGTCAGGAAGCAGATAGTGTTGTCATTGTCATGGTAGATGTACTCAGAGATATGGAAGGTGTCGTTTGATGGTGTTGACAAGTCCAGCTCAAAAAGGAATCGACTCCCGTTGAAATAGCTCGACTTTTCCACATTGACTATGGACTTTAATGCGATATTCCTGAAGAATCAAAAGTCAAATTTTTTTTAAACCCTCATAACATATTTTCTCTCAATAGAAAAGTGAATGGTGAAGCTCAGAACACAGATGCAGGAAACGTGAAAATAGTATATACCTAGGCTGAGCAGCCGATCTGGATTACACAGTCAAAAGACTCAAAGCCATCGTTTGGCATAATGACGCCACTATATCTTAACATTTTGGATAGATTCTCAGAAAGACTCGAAATTTAGACCTATAAACATTCTTTCCGAAAGTAGAACTTTAGTGTATCGAGGTTTGATGTACATCCTTTTTTAACGATAGCTCATCTACATTTTATTTGATATGCAGTCAATCTTATCATCCCCTCTAGAGATCTGGCGGCCACAATCCTTACCGTTAAAACGGTGGTGTGACGCAATTATGCGATAGGATAATTCAGAGGCTATGCTCTGCCAAAAGGGGAAAGACCATAAAATTATACAGTATCAAATCTGTCATTAAATGATAGATAAAAAAATCCATGGTGATTTCGAATTGACTTCTCTGATATGACTAGCTAAAGAACAAAACCTTAATGAATAATCCCTCAAAAGAAATTGAGATTCTCTCGGGAAACAAACCGTTTCACTCGAGACCAACAATTGACCATATCTATATGATAATAGTGCGTGATCATCCATAAGATTGGACAAAAGTATAACGACAATCGAATCTCAATCTCGTTAATTTTCAATAAATTAAACAGCTATCATCAATCGATATGCAATGACTTAGGGATTTCCTGCCGAAAAATCGGACGCATTAAAGTGATTATTAAATGATACCCGTTAATTGGTAATCGTGAATAAATATGTATCCATCCACTTTTGTCAACAAATCTCGTAAAACATATAGACCATCGTTTTGGCCCTCTAAAGTGTCTCCCTTAATCAAAACTTACAGTTTTAGACGTTCCTTTGTCTTATTTAAGAACAGCTGCACGATGCTTGTCATATCATCTTTCTTCAGTATGTCTTTAACACCGTTACTTCCAACACTGATTGCTAAATCATAGGGGTAAACTAAAATTATCTTGATATCTCCAAGTGAACTATATGGATTGATCTTGATACCTTTTCTTTCCAACCTCAAAGTTTCGCCAAGATTAGGCAAGTGACAATTTGGTAAAACCTCAGCAAAT